CGCAAAAAGAGAACACACATAGAAGGAGGTGGTGGCTGCTTTTTAGATATTGATACCGGGGGCCGTGCTTTCCATAACCACCACCTTGTAGCTGCAGAAAGCCCTAGATGTAATGATAGTGTAATCATTTTGAATTGTATGCATTATTATATCAAGGAGTTAGATATCTTGCATGAATGCTCTCTTCTGTGTTTAGGTATCCTATGCCACTCTTGCTGTGAAATTGAAGTGCATGTAGAAAAAACCTTTTACTATATGAAACTTTACAACGCTTGTGAAAACAATTCAATTTGGTTTACGCACAATGTAATATTTCTCCAGGTATCATCCAAAATTCCCCACAGACAAGGCTTTCGTCCTCATTAGGTGTTGGCCTCAGCCTAATCATCTGGGACTGTTCTATTAAATTGCTGCCAGGATTTTACATCCAGTTACCTCCACTTTCTAGAACATATTCTCTACTAATAGTACTGAAACCAATTTCTACTTCATACAGATGTTTTTTGCAACAGTGATTAAAGTTTATCTTCCACGAGTCAAGTCCTCTTCAGAAAATGATTGCAGTTACTCATTTTGTGTATTACTATTTTAACATTATTGCTTCCTGTACCTGTACTTCCTTTAATTGATTTCATTCCTTGCCATGGTGTCTTGCCTCCCAAATCCCCCCCCTCAATAAAGCAATATACTGTTACACTGTGGGTTTATACTAATCTTATACCCGGGAGGGGGAAGGGGAATGGACCCTGGGCTTAATTTTATTTAAAGGTCAAAGGAGTTTGTCCTCCTTTTATATTGGCATGGACTCTTTTGGGAGATAGTGACCAAAATAAACAATGGTGATTAGCAAAGAAGACACATAAATTTTATTAGGGTATACTGGCAGAACTGTTCCAGAAACTGTATGCCATTCTGTATTCCCATTAATGAGATTAGCTTCTCATGAGTACCATGCCTTTACTAACTTGCTAAGTGGTTGTGTAAAAGAATTTTTATCGCTAAGTTTATTGGCAAGGAAATAAAGATAAAGGTTGTATTGGATTTAGTAAGTCATCTCAGATGATTTACCTTAACTTTTGCTTTTAGCATCTATCTCCAATAATTTTCATTCACAGTATATCATAAACTTTGGTTCAAAATGGAGTCTGTCTTTGCCATGTTATGACTTAAAGTTCTTTGACTTTGTGTGATGCATTATGATGGTGTTCTGACTTCCTGGTGTTCTTTCACCATGGTTTCATAGGATCAAGTGAAACTTCCCAGACTGAGAACTGTTCAGGATATTCAGACATACAGTGAAGCAGAATGCTATCCATAAGACATAAAATTCCAGACGTCTATGGGAAATGACTAAAAATACAGGCTTTGAGGAGTTGGCATCTTTTAGGTATATTTGCAAATACTGGGATATAAGCAGCTGAGAAAACAGCAAAGTTGACTAAATTTTGTATTCTTGTCCTCAAAGTTTTTTGATTCTTTCTGGATTGTTGCAGTGATGTTTTTTTGTTCCTTCCGTATTTATAAATGAAACACTTTTTTTAGTGTTTCTAAACATAAAATCTACTTGGTTTGAAATCAAGTGGTTGGAACACAAATTTTGACTTTTATTTTAAGCATGTTGATTCAAAGTTTCATTGAAGAAACTTTCAGTCAGTGGATCAGTTTGATTCTGTAATTAGCACACAGTACCTAATTAATGTTTTGTACTGTTTTGAGGACCAATGCTCAAAGTGGATTTTGTTCTTGAACAGTGTCCCAGTAGATTTGATGACATTTGTTGGCTTGAGGTCTGATTTTTTTTTTTTTCTAATAGATTTAAGATTTCTATCTAATGTTGAAAACTGCACAAATTTGTATGGAATAAAGCCTAGAAAAATTAAAACTGTAGATTGAATAGTAATCAAAATTAATCCTAGTGTGTATGATGGAGGAGGGAAAATTTTGGTGCCATAATTTCTCTCTTCATGGTGTTGGACTTAAATCAGTTGAAATGTATTTCTGTACCACAATTTAAGCTTCAATAAAAGTTTGCTTAATTCATTGTCTAGTGACATTCAAAAAGTTTTTTGTTGATGTATTTTTTAAATAGTATAGACCAAATACTAGCCATCTGCAATTTTTATAACTTGAGGAAATTGGTATTTGGTGGTTATTGTCCAATGTTTGAGTAATCATGAAGACAGAAGATCTTTAAGCTCCCGGGAGAATAAGTAATTTATACTCATTTAAACATTTCTTATTAGTGGCTTCATAACTAAAGCTTAAGAGAAATAGCTGGGCTATATATATACCAGGATATCAGAGTAGAAGAGGTAAGTGGTGAGAATAAAAAATTGTGTTTGTGAGTTTGGAGTTAAGTCAGAAGTTTGAAGGTGAAATGTTCCAGGTTTTATAGAATAGGCTCTTAATAGGTGAGGGAGAACAAGCTATAAACTTAACTGGAACAAAGTTATAAGCTTGATCATTTTTGCAATGTAGGTACATGTCTCATGATCACTTATTTGGCAAAATTTCAGTTCTTCAGTCCCTGTCTATAATCTGAAAATTGGAATCTTATAAAAATGTGTATTCAGATCTTTTTCAGAGACCATTTTCTAAAATGTGAATAGAAAGGGGGTTGATCCTAGTTGTTACATATGTGATGTGTGTAATACCTCCAATACCAGGTTCTTTCACAAGAACAGGTAAGTGAGCAATGATATTCAGACACCTTAAGTTGCAAATATGATATTACACTATGAAAGGTAAAGAACCTTATTTTCATTGTCCTGGCCAGATAACTTGCACCAATTCCTCACTTCCCACCTTCAAACTTGATATTTCCATCCCCCCTTTTATTCGTGTTAAAATGGAAACTGTTCCTTTGGAATCTGTCCCTTCTACCTTGAGAGACCTTGTAACTGAGCTCTCTGCAGGGTTTAGCTAGAACACCAGAAAATAGATGAGATTTGTAATTCAACATTTTAATTGGAGAATTTTCAAATATATAGAGTAAACAAAAATAGTATATTGAATCTTCATATCCTACCTTAAACAGTACTCAATTCAACTTTGATACATCTATCTACACATCTTTGTAGGTAAGATTTAGAAGTTGCAATCAGCAGATCTTAACTACAATTCAGGAAAATGGACACTTTATTTAGCTCCCATCCATGTAGGGACAGAAGGTTCACTTAATCCCTATTTAGGCAGCTCTACCCCACCCCAAGTTAATCACTTTTCCAAATTTTTTTTTTTTTTTCCACCATAACATAGGGTCCCACCTGCCCCACTCTGGAACTTTATATTAAATATAAGGTATATACTCCCTACAGTGCTTTCATTTGGTATAAAGTTTTTGACGGGTTGAACCATGTGTTCCTTTCTGCCAAGTAGTATCCATTGTATGAATGTACTATGATTTGTTATTCATTCTGTTACACATTGGTTTCCAGTTTTTGGAAAACAAATAAAGCTGCTATGAACATTTGCATACAAGTGTTTTTGTGGCTTCGGGCTGCCTTGTATCGGAGTACTGAACATGTTTTCGTCTTTATTCGCCATTAGTATAATTCTCTGAAAATGTTTTTGTACATTTGAATCAGGTTGGCTTTTTATTTTGAATAGAAAGTTTTGCAAATGTTTTCTAGTCTGGTGTTTCTTCGTTTTCCTAATAGTGACTTGATGAAGTTCTTAATCTCAAGTCTTGATTTATCAACTTTCTGAATGGGTCTTTTTCTGTCTCAATAAATCTACATAGCCTCACATTGTGGTGGTTGGTGGTATTGTTTTCTTGTGAAACCTTCATAATTTTGGCTTTTACATCTATGATCCACCTCAGATTTCTATGTGTGGTATGAGGTAGGGATTGAAGTTTCTTTTTAACCCATGTGATTGTGCAGTTAACTCTGGCACCATTTGTGCTTTCTTTCACCATTTTAAAACAAAATAATTTGTTTTGGCATAATTTAAGTTGAATTACTTTGGAATTTAAATTACCTTTAAAGTATTGGACCAGTTTGTTACCATGCTTTGACTGTTCCATGGGTTACCTGTATTTCTGGGTAGATACTAAAACTCATCAATTTATTTTTTTAAGTAAGCTCTACACCCAAGGTTGGGCTTGAAGTCACAACCCCAAGATGACGAGTTGCATGTTCTACTGACTGAGCCAGTCAGGCACCTTCAATTTCTACTTTTAAAAGAGACTGAGATTGAGTAATTAGAATTGGGTAGTATCCTGGGTAGGATCCGTTGTCATTTAAGTTTTTCTCAGGAGTGTTCTGTGTGATGTTTTGTATGATTTTCACGAGCCCTTGGTGCTAGTGTCATTTGAATTTTCTGATTTGTAATTTTTAATTTTTTAAATCTTTTATTATAGGACCTTGCTAAGCTCTTCATTAATGCACTGGTTAGGACCTCTAGTACATGTTGAATTTAAGCGGTAAGGGTAGACTAGGGGGCAAAATTCAGGAGGGGCTCCCAGACTGTTGCAAGCAGTCTTCTGAGAGAATAAGTACATCCTTTCATTTTGCTCCCTGGGGGCTTTGCTTGCCTGAGTCTTGTCCTGGTCCTCCATTAAATAAAGTCCTCTCTTAAGTTTTAGAAAGGAAACATTTATTGCATAGTCCATCAGAAATGTTTGCTGTTGGTTTCTATGTGTAGATGTCTAGTTAGATGCCTTTTACATATTCTCTGATTTTCTCAGGAATGGGTGTTGAATTTTATCAGACCTCTCCTCCCCCTTTTGGTACCCATGGAATGATCATACGGCTTGTCTCCTTTATCTGTTAAGATAATCCTGTCCTTGGGGGAGTTTAGTGATGGAACTTTAGGTCTAAAACAGGCTCCCAAATACTGGGGGCAGAAATGTCTTGTTTGAATAACTTTGCCCAATTCTCTCATTTCTCTTTCAAAATAAACATTAAAAGAAAATAAAGTAACTTTCCTCCAGGTTTCACAAATAGAAATAAGTGTTCAACTCTTTTAAGTTTATTTTGAGAGAGGACGAGCAGAGGAGGGGCAGAGAGAATCCACTGTCAGCACCTAAATGCGTGGCTGGATCTCATGACAGATCATGACCTGAACCCAAACCAAGAGTACAACTTGACCAACTGAACCAGCTAGGCACCCCACCCCCAACTTGTTTTCTTAGTCACTGCAGTATTTCAGTCCACTTTTAAAAATAATCCTTTTCACGCCTACCCTAAAACGTGGGAATTGAATTATTTCACCTACTTTACAATTCAAGAATTA